CTTCTTTCCAGACTCTTACTTTCTGCATATTCCTTCTCAATTTATCATCCTACTGTTCTCTTCTTACTGACCCCAGGTAAGAAGGTGACTTTGGAGTCAATGATGAAGGACTGATACTATAATTTTCCTTTCAATAGGTTTTTGCATAGCATTTTGGTGGTGTTCTTGTTAGGTGCTGTCCAGTCACTTCTGACACATGGCAACCCTTTGCAAAACAGAACAAAACACTACCCCATCCTCAATTGTTGTTACGCTTGTGTCCATTGCTGCTGCCACTGTGCCAATCCATCTCAGGGGTCTTCTTCTTTATTTCTGACTTTCCACTTCACCAAGCATGATATCCTTCTCCAGCGACTGGTCCCTCCGGATAGCATGTCTGAAGTGTGTGAGAGACAAAGTCTTTCCATACTGGCTTCAAAGGAGAATTCTAGCTATACTTCTTCCAACATAGATTTGTTTGTTCTGATGTTGTTGTCATGAAGTGCCCTAGAGTTGGTTCCAATCCATAGTGACTCTGTATAGGGTTTCTGAGGAGCAGCTGGTGAGCTTTGAACCTTACAGTTCAAGTGGCTTTGCAGTCTGGCACATTAACCCACAGCACCACACCATGGTCATTTCAATATTCACCTCTGACATTGTAACTCAAATGTATTAATTCTTCTAAAGCCTTCCTTATGTATTCATTGTCCAACTTTCACATGCATTTGAGGCTATTGAAAATATCATGGCTTGGACCAAGCACCTTAGTCCACAGGCTGATATCTTTGCTCTTAAACACTTTAAAGAGGTATTATGCAACAGATTTACCAAGAGCAAGACATCATTTGATTTCTTGACTACTACATCCGTGAGTGTTGATTGTGGATCCAAGCAAAATGAAGTCTTTGACAACTTCAGTCTTTTCTGTTTGTCATGATGTCATTTATTGATCCAGTTGGGAGTATTTTTGTTTTCTTTACATTGAAGTGCAACCTATACTGAAGACTGTGGTCTTTAATCTTCATCAGTAAGTATTTTAAGTCTTCTTTGCTTCCAGAAAGTAAGGTTGTATCATCTGCATATCACAGGTTGGGTTAATGTGTTTTCCTTCAATCCTGATATCACGTTCTTCTTCATAGACTCCAGCTTCTCAGATTATTTGTTCAGCATACAGATTGCATAAATGTGGTGGAAGATTACAAACCTGGTGCACACCTTTCCTAATTTTAAAACATTTATTATCCCCTTGTTCTGTTCCAGCAACTGCATCTTTTGCTGTCTATAGATTTCTCACAATGAAGTGTTCTGGACTACCCATTCTTTGCAATGTTACCCAGAGTTTGCCATGATCCACACAGTCCAAAGCCTTTGCATAGTCAATAAGCACATGTAAATAGCTTTCTGGTATTCTCTGCTTTCAACCAAGATCCATCTAACATCAGTAATGATATACCTTGTTCTATGTGCTCTGGTAGCATAGTGGTTACAAATTGGGCTATGAACCTTAAGGTCAGCAGTTTGAAACTACCAGCTGTTCCGCAGGAGAAAGATGAGGTTTTCTGCTTCCTTTAAAGATTTACAGCCTCAGAAACCCAGTGCAGGGTCGCTATGAGTCGGAACCGACTCCACGGCAAACAACAACAAATATTCTCTTTTAGGTCCAACTTGTTTTCTGGCAATGCGCTGTTGGTGTACTGTTTTTAATTATCTTCAGCAAAATTTTACTTGCATGTGATGTTAATGACATTGTTCAGTGATTTCCATGTTCCATTGGGTCACCTCTCTTTTGAATGGGCACAAATATGGATCTCTCCCTATCAGTTTTTCAGATATCTGTCTTCCAATTTCTTGGCATAGATTCATGAGTATCTCCAGTGCTGCATCAGTTTTTTGAAACGTTTCAATTTGTTTTCCCTCAATTCTTGGAGCCTTTTTTTTTTGCCAATGACTTCAGTGCAACTTGGACTTAGTTCTTCCTTCAGTGCCATTGGCTCTTGATCATATGCTGTCTCTTGAAACAGTTGAACTTCGACCATTTCTTTTTGGTACAGTGACTCTGGACACAGGTACAGATGTATACCTTCCATCTTCTTTTGATACTTCTGCATCATCCAATATTTTGTTCACAGAATCCTTCGATATTGCAAGCTGTGGCTTGAATTTTTTTCTTCAGTTTTTTCAGCTTGCTTTCCTCCCTTTTGGTTTTCTAACTCCACGTCTGCCCATATCATATTTTACTTGTCTTCTTGAGCTGACCTTTGGGATTTTCTGTTTTGCTCTTTGACTTACTCAATTCTTTCTGCCACGTTAGATTCTCTAGGCTTCAGAGCTCTGGTAGCATAGTGGTTACTAATTGGGCTGCTAACCTCAGAGTCAGCAGTTCAAAACTACTAGCTGTTCCGCAGGAGAAATGAGGCTTTCTGCTCCCATAAAGATTTACAGCCTCAAAAACCCTGTACAGGGTCACTGTGAGTTGGAACCGACTCCACGGCACATAACCACCACCACCAAGCTCAAGAGCAAGTTTCAGAGTCTCTTCTGATATCATTTTGGTTTTATCATTCTTTCCTGTCCTTTTAATGGGCTTTTGTTTTCTTTCTGTATGATGTTCTTGATGTCATCCCACAGCTCTTTTCATCTTTATCATTAGTGTCTAATGCTTCAAATCTGTTCTTGAGACGGTCTCTAAATTCAGTTAGGCTATATTCTAAGTCATATTTTGGCTCTTGTTAACTATTTTCAATTTTGTCCCGTTTCAGCCAGAACTTGCATATGAGCAATTGATGGTCTGTTCATGTCTTGTTAAGAATTATGATATTGAACTTTTCTACCATCTATTCCCACAGATATAGTCGATTTGATTTCTGTGTATTTCATATGGTGAGGTCCATGTGTATGTTGTTTAAAAAAAAGGTATTTGCAAGGAACAAGTCATTAGTCTTTCAAAATTCTCTCATGTTATCTCCAGCATCATTTCTATCATAAAGGCCATATTTTCCAACTACTATTCATCCTCTGTGTTTCCAACCTTTGCATTCCAATCACCAGTAATGATCAATACATCTTGATTGAATGTTTAATCAATTTCAACCTAAAGAAGTTGGTAGTAGTCTTCAATTTCATCATCACTGGTTTTATTGGTTGTTGAATAAACTTGAATAATCATGGTATTAACTGGTTTTCCTTACAGATATATGAATATTATCCTTTCACAGACAGTGGTGTACTTCAGGAGAGATCCTGAAATATTCTTTTTGATGATGAATGCTAGGCCATTCCTCTTGAGTTTGTCCTTCCCGGCATAGTACACCATGAGTGTCATATTCAGAATGTCCAATACCAGTCCATTTCATTAGTGCCTAGGATATAAATCTTTATGAATCCCATTTCATTTTTGACAACTTCCAATTTTCATAGGTTCATACTTCTTACAACTTGTGTTCTGATTATTAATGGATGTTTGCAGCTGTTCCTCCTCATTTTGAGTTGTGCCCCATCAGTAAATGAAGGTCCTGAAAGCTTTATTCCATTTGCCTCATCATGGTCAACTCTACTTTGAGGAGGCGTTTCTTCCCCAATTGTATTTTGAGTGCCTTGTAACCTGAGGAGCTCATCTTCGGTACTATATCTGACAAAGTTCTCATGCTATTTTTAATGTTTTCATCTTTAGGCACTATACCTTGCAATGTTCTGCTGCTTCTTCCTAGTCCATCTTAGTCTGGAAGCTTTGTTGAAATCTGTCCACCAGGGGCTGGTATTTAAAATACCGGTGGCATAGCTTCCAGCATCACAGCAACATGCAAGCTGCTACATTACCACACGCTGATAGACAAGTGGTGGTACAACATTTTAGGTTTGATAAATCGCAATGTAGTATCTAATTTAAAGCTAAAATTTTGAAACACACCACTAGTAAAGATTGATTTATTATTATTGTTGTTGTTTCTTTACTCTACAACTTTATTCATCTGAAGTAAAAGTCAGTAGTAACAACATTTATTAAAAGTTTACAATGTGTGAGTTAAGAAGAAATTATTTGTTGGATGAAGAAGTGAATTAATGAAACAAATCACCATCCTCATTAGGTTGTCTTACTTTCACCTAGTACCTACTCAACTAACTGCTTGTTGTGTAGTTACTGAAGACGTTCTAAAAGTTGAATATTTTTGAAAATGTATATAGATTCTTGGACACTGGGATAAACTAAAATCCCCGTACCCACACACAAAAACAAGGTGAACAAGCTTGTTTTGCATTTAAATTGGCGAGGCAGAATGGAATGTTGTACTATCTCCTTTTTGTCCAAGAATAACCTAGTCTTGCAAAAATAGTTCCCAAGTCAATGACAACTATTGTCAGAAGACAAATAGTCTCTGAAGTGGATTAAGGTGAAGTGAGAGTGCCCCAATGTCACTGTGTCATTGAGGAGCTGGTTGTTTATAGCTTCATTACAGCCTTACATGAAATAACTATAATTTTTATGGGGTTAATGAAGCCACAGACAACCAGCTTCTTATTGAGTGACATTGGAGATGTTTTGCTTTTAACTAAATGCAATTTAATTTGTGTTTAACTAGCTCTCTCACCATACCAGGTATGCAGATTGGCACTTTAAAAACAATTAGGTAAGTATTCCTCTGTGTTTGCCACAGATCTAAAAAACAGATAAGGAAAATCAATAAAACCAAGCCAGATTGGTGGTGGTTGGTGGTTCTATGCCGTGGAGTCAGTTCCGACTCACAGCAACCCTGTACAGGGTTTCCGAGGCTATAAATCTTTACAGGACCAGAAAGCCTCATCTTTCTCCCGCGGAACAGCCAGCCGGTAGTTTCGAACTGCTGACTTTGAAATTCGCAGCCCGATTCATAACCACTACGGTTAGGGAAAGAAAATTCACTTTCCATCGAGAACACTGACCACCTCCTCAAGCTGCCTGCTCTGAGAGGAAGCCACTCAGCTATGTGTCTATCTGCCTCATTATTGTTAAATTCCTACTGTTTAATGTTTTGTTTTGTTTTTAGTTTTCAGGACTTTACCTTCTTTCTTTCTTCACCATTCTTATCGGGCTGGTGCTCTACTCCTCCACCTCCACGTACATAGCCCAGGACCCCCGAGTATACAAGCAGTTCCGCAATCCTTCGGGACCTGTTGTGGACTTACCAGCCACAGCTCAGGTGGAGCCTTCCGTCACCTACACCAGCCTGGGCCAAGAGACCGAAGAGGAGCCCCATGTCCGCGTGGCCTAGGATGAGGCCCTCCCTGTTCGCTGAGGAAAGCTCAGTGGCCACGTGTTTACCCTTCATCTCTGTCTAATATATAGAGAAAGGTATTTACTAGGTGCGGTTTACACAGGTGGACTGCAAGGTAGCAAATCTGAAAGCCTATCACAGGAATAAACTAGCCGTCACTGGAGATACAGGCTCCAATCCACCTATCTTGGAGAGATGCCTATCTAATGTGTATCCTGCTCACAAATCCCATGCATCAATTACTGTGAAAAGCCTGGAATCAGAAACAAGTATCCTTAGTCTTTGTATTATCAGCATTACTGTTTTCAGGAGGCTGTTTCCTACTCCTGATGGAAACTATTGCAGACCCACGTGTAGTTAACAGAACTCCCACTTTTCTATGGCAAGTCACTTTCTAAGAATCATACTTTCCTTTTGTTTGCACAGATTACCCTTGTGATGCATGCCACAGGGGCTCCACTCACGAGAAGTCTCCTTACCTAGGGACCTGGTGGCTCGATTCCCTGCTCAATATGTATTTTGTGCTGTGACCCTTGTGGGGAGGGGCAACTGACCATATAATTCTCTATTCTAGGAATAGATATAAAACAAACATTTTAGCCTTTTTATATTTCAGTCTGTGATTACTCCAGACCTTTGCCTTTTTGCTGTGCCATGCAATTCTGGTAATCAAGTCCCGGTAATAATAGGATAAAGAAATAGTCCATTTCTGTAGTTTAAAAGAAAATCGAGAAATAATAAACATTTTTCCTTAGGATATATATATGTGTGTGTATGTGTGTGTATGTACATATGTATATATATACATACATATATATGGAGCGCAGTGGCTCTGTAGGATAAACACTGGACTGTGAACCACAAGATCAGTAGTTCAAGCCAGTCACTCCTCAGGAGAAAGATGAAGCTTCCTGCACCCGCAAAGATTTGCAGCCTCAGAAACCCTACACAGGGTCACTATGAGTCAGAACTGACTCAACAGCACTTAACAGCATATA